GAGAGAAGGAAGGGAAATAGATAAGAGGGAGAGAGAAGTGAAATAGAAGAGAGAGGAAGTGAAGGGAGGGAGGAAGGAAGGAAGAGGGAGGGAGGAAGGAAGGAAAGGAGTGGAGAGAGAGAAGGAAGGAGGGAAGGAAGGAAGGGGAGAGGGAGGGAGGAAAGGAGGAAAGGAGGGGAGAGAGAGAAGGAGGGAAGGAAGGAGGGAAGGAAGGGGAGGGAGGGAGGCAGAGAAGGAAGGAAGGGGAGAGAAGGAGGGAGGGAGAGAGAGAAGGAAGGAAGGGCCCTGGTGACGCAGTGACTAGAATGCAGTAGTGCCCACTGCCAGGAGTTCGATCCTGACCGCCTCCAGCTTGACTCAGCCTTCCATCCTTCCGAGGTGGGTAAAACGAGGACCCCGATTGTTGGGGGGCCAGAGGCTGACTCTGTAAACCGCCTAGAGAGGGCTGTGAATCCCTGTGTGAAGCAGTATATAAGTCTAAGGGCTAGTGCCATTTTGAAAACGCCGCTGCTGTCCTCGCTGAATTTCAGAGCCGAACGTTTCTCCCTTTCCTCACTGAGAGGCGGGGGGAAAAAGCCCTTTTAAATCAGCCAGTTTTTTTTTTGCAAGCTGCCCTTGACGGGGCAGGGCAGGTAAAATTCCCTTTTTATTATTCCCCAGAGGCCTAAATGAAGATCCAGTAATTGCAGGAATGATGTAGCTTTGACCCTTTAGCCCCGGTCGATCCGCTGAGACTAATTCATTCCTCCAGAAACCATCTTCCCTCATCCTGTTTTAAACTTGGAGCATCCTTGGGTCACAAATGCCTAAATGGGGGGCGCTGCCACGGTCGCTTTTTGCAGCGGCGTCGTAACTTCGAAAGGTCGGCGAATGGGCGGTCGTAAGCCTGGGAAAAGCAGCCTCTGAGAACCCGCAGAAGGGAACTTTTACAGAAATCCTCTCCCAATCCTTCATTTGACGATTAAAGTTGGAATTAAGGCTGTCTTGAAAAGCGCAGGCTAAAAGGGTTCATTGGGTGGCCCTTCGAAGTTAACAACCCAGAAAAAAAAATGGACTTACGGCCGTTTTTCACACTTAACGACCGTCGCAGTGTCCCCATGGACTCGTGATCAAAATTCAGGCGCTTGGCAACAGTCTCATCTTTACGACAGTTTTGGTCTCCCGGGTTCCTTCGATCCTCTTTTGCAACCTTTGGACAAGGCAACGTCTTTGGGGAAGCCAGATTCACTTAACAACCGGGTGACTGACTTAACAGCTGCAGTAATTCGTTTTACAGCTGCGGCAAGAAAGGAGCAATAAAATAGGCTGAAATTCACTTAACAACTATCTTGCTTAGCAACAGGATGTCAGGATTCCGGCACTTAACCCCATTTAAATCACGAGTCTCGAGCCAAACATCCAAAACTTCCAAAGGATTTATTGGGAGTTACCATGTCCGGCACTGCCTGGGTGTAGCCGACTCTGAGGCACATCATTCATTGTCACCCGTGACTCTGGTTTTTCCCCCATCCCCTGGGTGTATCGTAATTCATATTCACCTTCTTCCTTCCTTCCTTCCTTCCTTCCTTCCTTCCTTCCTTCCTTCCTTCCTTCCTTCCTTCCCTCCTTCCTCCCTCCCTCCCTCCCTCCCTCCCTTCCACACACATCCATACCCCAGAGTCATCAATCATGCTCTCCAGTTAGATATTTGCTTGGCAGAAACTTCAGCTACCTAGTTACTGTCTTTGAAAACATTTATGGAATGCACTTTCGATTTCCAAACTGCCACACTGCTCCCCCCCTCCCTTCCTGTTAGGCAACTCTAAAAAAGACCATAGAAATATTTTATGAGTTGACGTAGGAATTATGGGCTGAATTTTAGTCATAAATCGAGGACTATCTGTATTATGTTAGGGTTAATGTAAGATTAAATGTTATATATAGGATTTTCTAAGATCCTCTAAATATCAGGGACAAGCTTCCAATTATTGGAGTGAAATTAAAGGCCATCGTTGATTTCTTGCTTTGCTACCGAAAAATGAATGTGTGTGTGTATTTTTTTTAAAGTTGTCCTTTTGAATTTCAGCGCTCTAATACGCATTTAAATTAAACAGATTTTTCTTTTGAGCGCAGTTTGCTGTGTAAATCACTCTTGAGATTAAAGAAAAGCACTCCGTCCATTGATAATTCTTCTGATGTCTCGTGTTCGGTTTAATGGAACGTGAGGATAGAAGGAGGGATTACGAGCGGTGGTACCTTACAAAGAGAGTGTTTAATTGCCTGTAAAAAAAAAAAAAAGAAAAGAGGAATTAAATAAGGTTGAGCTGCTAAATTTATCATTCCGTTAAATGCATAAAGCAACGTGTTACGTGTCAGCGTGATCTCAAGTTGGAAGTGTGAGATTAATAGAGCTAATTGCGGCATTGTTGCAAAGCAGCAACGCTTAATAAGGGCAAATATATATGCCTGGGATTTCCAGCAAGTTTCCACTCGTGAATTCGCTTTCTCTGTCAGTTTATAAAGGCGAGTTTTGCACAGCTGCCTCGCTTTTACAGGGATTCTGTTAAGGTGTTCGTATGGAAATCTGTAGGCTATACGGTATGAATGCAGGACGTGAGAGCTAGTTTGGCCTAGTGATTAAGGCGCTGCTGGCCTAGAAACCAGCAAACTGTGAGTTCTAGTCAGGTATGAAAACGGGCTGGGTGACTTTGGGCCGATCACCAGGAGACGGTGAGTTCTAGTTCCGCCTTAGGCATGAAAATTAGCTGGGTGACTTTGGGCCAATCACCAGGAGACGGTGAGATCTAGTTCCGCCTTAGGCATGAAAACTGGCTGGGTGACTTTGGGCCAATCACCAGGAGACGGTGAGTTCTAGTTCCGCCTTAGGCATAAAAACTGGCTGGGTGACTTTGGGCCAATCACCAGGAGACGGTGAGTTCTAGTCCTGTCTTGAGTGAAACTACAGTTGCTCTAGTGTGAATGCAGGATTTGAGAGCAATTTGGCCTTGTAATTAAGGTGCTCACCTAGAAACCAGGAGACGGTGAGTTCTAGTCCTGTCTTGAGTGAAACTACAGTTGCTCTAGTGTGAATGCAGGATTTGAGAGCAATTTGGCCTTGTAATTAAGGTGCTCACCTAGAAACCGGGAGACGGTGAGTTCTAGTCCCTGGCTCAGTCAAAAGCCAGCTGGGTGACTTTGGGGCAGTCATTCTCTCTCATCCCAACTCACCTCACTGGGTTGTTGTTCCAGGGATAATAAAGAGGCCAAAGAGTTTTATGGATGT